TATATATATATATTTAACAAGCCTATTACGAGTTTACACCTAAATAAATAAATAAATATATATGGTTTAAATGCGTAATTAATTATATTTTGAATAACCAAGTGTTGGACCAAATTTTCATCATTGTTTGAATCACTATAAAATTTGAAGTTTATTTCTCATATCGAGATAAATAACTACTTTTTATTATGAGATAAATATACCTTTTTTAGTTAGACCCGTTAACATTCTTACTCATATTAGATTCCTAACTAATCATAGGTTTATCAGTCTTAACATTTAAATTTTGTTAATATAATTGTAATAAATTTCATTTTTGTTCATAATAATTTTTGAGTGATTAGTCCTTTTGTTATTACTGCATAGACTCGGGTTTAATTACTGACATGTATGTTTCAATAATTATCATTTCTTTATAGCGTTGATATTTGAAATCTCATTACAATTTTATAATTGATTATAAATATTGGGAGACATTTTATAATTATATTCGTGTGCTTTGATTGTGGTTGCATGAAATATAATTGATATTATAATATATTATTATGTTGTTACTAAACCCTTTTTATGAACCGACAGGTCCTAAAAAAATTAATGGATTTTCATAAGATTGGTGTCTACCTTTCCTTGCTTCAGAATGTCGTAGAAAATAAACAATATAAATATAAATATAAATATTATGTATCCACTTATTGTACTTTTAAATTATCAAGTTGTGTTAAAAGATTGTTAAACCCTATATTCATAAACACACCCAAACCTATAAATATCTACATAAAAGCGCATGTGTTCAAGTCAGTCATATTCTATGGGTGTGGTGGTGGCTGTTGTTTGGGATGCTGACTATGGTTAGGGTGTCTAGTTGTGGTTGTGGCTGTGGTTTAGGGTGCTGATTGTAAATTTAATAGTTTTTTACTTTTTTTTAGCAATCTTCCTACTCACTGTCAAGTGGGGCGTGTATCTTTTTTTTGTACTTTTATGATTTGAATTTTTGTTTCTAGTATTAAATATATGACTATGACAGTTTTGTTATAAACAACATTACTACACAGGAACAGAATTGTCATTATAACAGAATGATCATTTGTCTAGAAACAGCTACCGCACAACTATTTTCAAACTGCAGAAAACAAACAGCCAGTCAGATCATCCGCAGCAGCTTCTTAGGAGCTGCTGCGCAACAAATTATTGATAAGTTGTAGCTACCCAAAAAAAACCCTTAAAAGAATAACACCACGTTGCTTATACCTCATTTTGTAGCTTTTTTAAACATTTGACTTGTATTTCAACAAATAACTTCAAGGACCATTTTTTGTTCAATCATACTAATGACATTAAGATGTCAACATATGTCATACGCATGCACTCATCCATTATAAAAGCTGACATAAAAAATCCATTTTACACGAAGAGATATCTAAAACAATAAGATGGGTGCTACTCATTTTAAAGTAAAAATTTCACACCATGTACTAATATTTTCTCAACTAGAAAAGCTTAGACTTATTTTTCAATCACAATAGAGAGAATTAGCCATCACTAAAGAAGCCAT